ATTATACTGAGCAATATTGTTCTACAATAATAACGTTTTAAAATGAAAATCATGTCAAAATGAACATGATGTTACATGTATTGAAAATCACACAAAAATGAAAATCATGTTAAAATGGACATAATGTCAAAAGAAAATCATGTCAAAATGAACATTATGGCAAAATGAACATGTTTTACATTGAAAATCACGCAAAAATGAAAATCATGTTAAAATGGACATAATGTCAAAAAGAAAATCATGTCAAAATTAACATCATGGCAAAATGAACATGATGTTACATTAAAAATCATGCAAAAATGAAAATCATGTCGAATGCGAAACATGTCAAAATGAAAATAATAGCTAAAAGAACATAATTTCAGAATGTAACAAAAGAAATCATGTCAAAATGAAAATCATATCAAACTCAAGATCATGTCAAAAGTGAAAATTATGATAAATTGAACATAATGTCAAAATAAAACAAACAAGTGAAAATAACATTATCACAGACATGATACTGAGCACCAATGGTCTACAATAACATGATGATTACCATGATATTAAACTTGAACCTCAGGTCAAAATAGTGATATCCAATGAGAAATGATACAAAATGCTGTGATAAAAGGAGTATCAAAATGGCCAACATTACATGTACCGGTATGTGAAAACAATTCACTGAGGATGGACATGTGACAAACACCAATATTTTTTGCGAAATCATACTATATTCTTGAGAGATTGTTTTTCTTAGAAAGAAAATACAACAGAAGGAAAACCGTTCCATAAAAACTCCTTTTAAAATCAGTACACTGTATCAATGTTTTAGCATGTATCTTTCACAAGTACATGTAAATAATTACTTCCTAAAACAACAAAACTCACAAATAAATTGCCACCTGTCAGACAGGAAGTAAGACAATACATGCATCAAAAATAAAGGCAAATAATTTGAAACTTGGCATTCACACCAGTACCATTGCTTTAAGGACAGAGGTAAAAAAATCATTGAATAAAAGCCATTTTACAGAGACATAATCAATATCGTTCAATGTACAATGTTGATATAGCAACAATATACAACATGTCTTGCCTTTAAGAGACCAATTCTAACACTTCACACACACATTCTTGTTGCACCTCCTTTAACACAAAAAAATGCAAAAAAAATATAAATTCTGGCATCAATCTTGGCCTATCACAACATTTTATATTTCAATATTAAAATGAGGTGCCCTGAGAAGAAATTTCATGATTTGGCTAAAACTTAATGAATTGAAAACAAATAATATTATCTATTTTCTTTCATTGCATTATAAATGAGAATACACTAGTAATGTCGGACTGTGTAACTCTCTAAGGCTTACCATTTTTGATAGACCATGGTTCAGTTCATTGTAAGACAAGTAACCTTAACCATATGGATGATTTACTTTAACATAAATAAAATAAGGACTGTAGTTTTGTCATTACCTGACATTTTGTGTTGGATTCCATCTTTCAGATGGCTCCTCCCCACTCTGTGGATCGTCTATTGGTGGGTGAAGTATAGATATACACACATCTCCGTTCTATAATCACAAAAATATGATTACAACACATTTAGAACAAATCCAAAGTTCAATATAAAGTATGAAACATTTATCATTAAAGTTTAACGAACTGAATTTTAATAATCTCATTTGCAAATAAAAGCTCAAGAAAGTCAATGTCTGATTTTCTATACAAGTTTTGATCATTTTCAATTTAAGAATTTTCTTCACTTTGAAAAGTAACATTATCAAGAGGCTGAGCCTTTTTCCAATTGAGTTATTTCTGAAATAATTAAGTCAATGACTCAATGTATTAAGACTGATTACTGTGTAATCATATTTAATTTTACTCTATCCTCCTCAAGCTCTGACAATCTATGTGCACCATATAATGGCTAGAATGGAGTTAAAAGTCTTGAAGAATTTAGAAGATTAATCACCAAGCATGGCTTGGTCCATACTGTACAGTGCAGAAAGTTTGTTTCAAACTACTTATGTTATTGCACAAAAATACTCATTAAACCAAAATACTAGCCTGACTTTTATATTTATCTACCTGTAAATGTCAATCTATAAAGGAGAGCACATATTCAATATAAAGGTCAAACACCTATAGGCCATTTCAGTTATACAATTGTTTATAACTTAACCCAGTGATTTTTCTCACTTTATTGGGAAGAGGCCTTAGCCTCTTGATTTTGGGAAAAATTATCGCTAAAATTGCTGATTTGAGAAGTAAAAAAGCTGGTTTAAGTTAAGATTTTTGGGAAATCTGCATGATTTTAAAGAAAATTTCAATTGGGAAGAGGCTTTTTTTGGAGTCTGTTATATAAGTAGGAAAATCACTGCTTAACCTGCATAATTATATATCAGTACACTAATTCTTTTAACAATAGTTAACTTGACTGTAAAATGTTTACAACTCTCTAGGCTTGGGTATCATAAAGGCAAATACAGTATAACAGATAACATTGATCTTGTAGATCTATCAGAACATTCTAAGATGAAGCTGATGAACCAGATGCATCAATGAGTCTAAAGTTTCCAAATGAGCCTTAAGCAGAAATGGGTCTCAAGTTTCAAAATTACCTCAAAGTGGACAATAATTTGAGACAAGAATTGGTTCTGTATTTAAATTCTAGCAACCACTCCATTTTATTGATTTATAGGTAAATCATATATTCATAAGTCAAAATCTAGTCCAAACTATATAACATGATAACAACTAAGTACATAGAAAGAAAAAGAAATGTCAAGGTTTAACCAAACCTTGACATTGTGTAAGAAGTAATAATGAAACTGTGAAATGTAAGTATCACATTTTATCAAATTCTCCCACTTTTGACAAAGACTTCTACTGACACAAAATTATGTAAAAGTGTGAAAGCAATATTAAGACTTGTCTCTAACATTATATTATTTAACAAGAACTGTCAGTAGGAAACTATTCCCACTGCTTGATAATAAAACAAGTGCCTGGATAATGTAGAATTTTCTATTAGTTTAAAAAGGGCAATAAAGGATTATTCTATCAAAATCCATGTTATAGTTATGGACGTTGGACAGTAACCTAATATTATGCACTTAAATTAAGTGTGTGAAAGTTTAACCCATCAAGGTGAACACCAGCAGTCCTGCCCACTTGTGTGTTTTGGAAGAGCTAGCTCGCCTAGAAATTTTGACAGACACACAAAGCTTAACATTATTATTTCCTTTTCTTTTTTCTTTTTCTTAAGAAGAACATTTGAAATATTCTTTTAAAATTTAAAGTATTGTATATTTATTTATAAACAATAAAGGATTAAGGCATATAATAGAACTCATACATGTTTAAGACAACTGAAAAAAAAATACGAAAAACTCCCAAACAGTCTATCCTCGAATTATCCCCCAAAAGATGTAAACAAGAGGGCCATGATGGCCCTGAGGTCGCTCACCTGTATATAGGCCCCCCCACCCCTGGGCCAATTTTTACCCAAGGGCTTTTATTTGTTTATTTGAACAGACTTGGTAGACACCCATAAGAGGATGTTTCATGCTAAACATTTAAGTTCTAGCTCATTGGGTTTTTTAAAAGAAGATTTTTAAAGTTTTTACTATACACATATAGTTAAAAACAATGACACCCTGGGACAGGGCCAGTTTTGACCCTCGGGCTTTTATTTGAACAAACTTTGTAGATATTTACTTAAAGATGTTTCATGCTTAATATCTAAACTCTAGCTATTTGGGTTTTTTCATAGAAGATTTTTGTTATACACATATAAGGAAAATCAATGACCCCCCGGGCGGGGCCAGTTTTGACCCCAGGTTTTTATTTGAACATACTTGGTAGACACCCATTAGAACATATTTCATGCTAAATATCTTAGCTCTAGCTCTTTGGGTTCTTTAAAAGAAGATGTTTTAAGTTTTTACTATATGCATATGGGGAAAATCTATGACCCCCTGGGGCGGGGTCAATTTTGACCCCAGGGCTTTTATTTGATCAAACTTGGTAGACATCCATTAGAAGATGTTTCATGCTAAATATCTTAGCTCTAGCTCTTTGGGTTCTTTAAAAGAAGATTTTTTAAGTTTTTACTATATGCATATAGGGAAAATCTATGACCTCCTGGGGCGGGGCCAGTTTTGACCCCAGGGCTTTTATTTGAACAAACTTGGTAGACATTCACTAGAAGATGTTTCATGCCAAATATCTAAGCTCTAGCTATTATGGTTCTTTAAAAGAAGATTTTTTAAGTTTTTACTATATGCATATAGGGAAAATCAATGACCCCCCGGGGTGGTGCCAATTTTGACCAAAGGGCTTTAATTTGAACAAACTTGGTAGAGACTCACTAGAAGATGTTTCATGCTTAATATCTTAGCTCTAGCTCTTTGGGTTCTTTAAAAGAAGATTTTTAAGTTTTTACTATATGCATATAGGGAAAATCAATGACCCCCTGGGGCGGGGCCAATTTTGACCCCAGGGCTTTTATTTGAACAAACTTGGTAGACATTCACTAGAAGATGTTTCATGCTTAATATCTAAACTCTAGCTCTTACGGTTCTTTAAAAGAAGATTTTTAAAGTTTTTACTATATGCATATAGGGAAAATCAATGACCCCCCTGGGCGGGGCCAATTTTGACCCCAGGGCTTTTATTTGAACAAACTTGGTAGACACTCACTAGAAGATGTTTCATGCCAAATATCTTAGCTCTAGCTCTTAGGGTTGTTTAAAAGAAGATATTTTAAGATTTTTCTTTCGGTTGCCATGGCAACCAGAGTTCTGCATGGAATTAAATTCTTTGAACAATTTTTAAAGGTGACCACCAAAGGAACATTCCTGTGAAGTTTGGATGAAATTGGCTCAGTGGTTAATGAGGAGATGTCATTTAAAGCAAAAGTTTACGGACGGACGACGGACGACGGACGGACGACGGACGGACGGACGCCGGACGAAAAGCGATCACAAAAGCTCACCCTGTCACTTTGTGACAGGTGAGCTAAAAAGAACACAATAAATAATGGAAAATGGCCATGTGATCAAATGGGGATCATAAAAAAACCTTTTGTTAGATATACTTACTTCATATACATTTGGATGCCACATCTTTGTTAGAAATTTGACACTTGGTGGGGAATAAGGATAATCTGATGGGAATTTCATTGCAGCCTGAAAGTAAATTTTATAAATATATAAAATTATATATGCATTTGTTTATTTTGTTTTGTTTTCAAGCCATATTTACATGCCCTAAATCAATTTATTTATTAATCCGAAAGTTTCTTTATTCTTTTACCTTGCGAAAGAAAATTCTTGTGTTAAGTTTAGTTTCAGTTAAGTTTGATTGTTTTTACTAAGACAAACATTTTATATAAGCAAGTATAATGTATATGGCATGATTTGCTAAGTAAATATAACCCTCTATGATGGAACAAACCATTTTCAATTGTTCTTATCTACTTACATTGTATATATGTTTGGTCATTTGAATTTTTATAGACAAATCGCTGATACAGGCAATCACCAGATTGCCTTTACATTGACTACACAGAGAATTGTCAACATCAATGAGCAAAAATGCATGAATGTGTCTAATAATTCTGTCACAAAAATCATTAATATTTAATTCCAAAAGACCTTGTTTGAAACATTTGACTTGTGTCTCTGACCACTTAAGTCACAGTTGGAAGTTTTGTATATAAGGTAGTCTATCAGTTTTTTCTTCTGTTAAAATGACACTCTGCATGATTAGCTCATTAATGTTATTCTACAGCCCCGCACATGGGCATGTTAAAATGGTCACTATTTGGGATATATAACATTTTTAGCACAATATACATACTGCACTTAGAACTCCTTGATCTTTTGAAAAAGCAGGATAAGAGAAACAAGGCCAATATGATATTACATTATAGATAAAAGCCAACATCATAACTATCTTTAAAAATCTTTTCTGGTTGTCCATATCAATTGAAAGCCCTGTTTGCTGCATGTCTATTTCTTATTGATATTATTTCAAATTAATCTGAGTTTACATAAGAAATGAATGGCTTAACAATACAAATAATTGCTTAATACAGAGCAACAGATAAGCTTTAAAAGTGAATTGGGTATTACTCCATCATTTCCTTTGGAATTGGGTATTGGCTCCATTTAATTGGGTATTCAAAAACTCGATACCCTTCGATTTCAAGATCAATTGGGTATTCAATTATGAAGATATGAATTTTATGGTTTCAATATCAATAAAATTAAATTTAGACATCTTAACTGTTTTAAAAAGAAAATAGGATTAACAATTTACTAGAACTTTTCACAATTGTTTTATTTTTTTATATAAAATGCTCATGTTATATTCCATAATATTTTTAACAAGTTCGTTTTCTGACTGATTGTTGATTATTTGCGACTGTTTTGTTTCAAATCATTTTCCCATATTGCTTTTCAAAGCGTCTATTGATACAGCTGGGACCTACTTATTGACGGTCTCCGCAAAATCAACGGTCTCTGCCGGTCTGTAAAGACCGTCAACCTGAGTAGACAAATCGACGGTCTCATGCTTAGTCGGTCTTTGGAGACCGGGGACCGTCGAAGACCGGAGACCGTTGATTAGTTTGCATTGATTCGGGAATATTCGGATATCATGCATATCGATATAATTTGTCCAAAACAACGAGTGTACGACAGATTAATTTTGCGGTGATGAAAATGACAATACGCACGGGTTTTAAAAAATCAATTGCGTAAATACGCAAATACGCACCTTATCTGTTGCTCTGTTAATAAGTCATTTGTATGATAACCATGGTTGTGTTCAACTGCCTAAATTATATGGGGAAGTCAAAGCCCGGGACCGCAAAGCAGGCCCGGGCTTTGGCTTTCCTGGCTTTAGACTACACATGTATATTTAAAAGGAAATCAAATAAAAGCAATTAAAGAATATATAGAATTCTATACAGTTACCTATCAATAAAATTTTCAGTGTCAATTCTAGTTGGGTGCCACCATTTTCAATATAATTTAGTGATTACATGCAGGGTATTGCTATAACGGAACAATTACAACTTTTTACATTAATAATAATGTTGAGTGTACCGAGTTAAAACAAAGGCTGTTCATGAAATACCAAATGACACCTTTATAACAGAAAAACGAACAATTTTTTTACTGACCTCCACATTCATAGGCTTTGCCAATTTCATATTAATAATAAATATTGAATATATTATATAACTTTGTGAATCAGCAGTAATGGCCCATTTGCATAATTATGCTTTAAACTTTTTATTAAAGTACCTTATGCAAAACAAAGATGAATGCCACTCATATGAGGTCCTTTACAGAGTTTTTTTATGTTCAGTTAAAACTTTTTTTATTATCTACCAGGATACCTATTTTATAATAAATTATTCATTTTGAACAGTGTCAACCTCCTCCCCATTAGTTTTACAAATGATCAGCTTAAATGTTTCCAAATGTGTGTTTGATTAGAATTGTACATCCTTTCTTTAAAAATCAACTATAAAACTGAATTATAAATTCATGTCCTTACATCCATTTCCTGATATGATGTCATATTTTGTTTAATTTTGTAAACAAAGAAAACAAAGGGAAGTTATTGGTTTCAACATATGAAGTAGAGTTATATTCATACAATTCCGGCAAAATGAATAAAAAATAGATCAATAAATCAAACCTTGAAATATCCACCCTCATAAAGGGTGCCAGGAGGTCCAAAAATTGCCACTTCCCACTCAAACAAATTTTCATCGTCAACCAGTTTCACACGAAACCCTTCGACGGGCTCACTAACAATTTTCTTCAGTTCAAGCTGTAGAGCCTTAACGGCTCCGCTTGTGGGACTTTGTGCCATTTGTTACAATCTATATTTACTATTTTTTATATGATTGTCTGAAAAAAGAGCCGAATAACGCTACTGTTTGGCTTCAATCCAGACGACTTTCCTTTTGTTTCTATCGCAGCGCAGTAATGGCGATTATGACGTCATAGACGGCAGTGATAGTCGTAAATAAAAACAAATAAAATATAGATATATATATTTAAGATCATTATTGTCGGTGGATATAAGAACAATTTTACAATTGATATCAAGTTTAGATCTACAGTTAACTAATTTTTTTGCAACATAAAAATGTAAGCGGACGACATCTACGAAAACCGCATGAACTTCCGGGGTTGATGATAATGAAGAAAAAAAGAGTAGATTTATTTAATTAATGTAATTTGAGGATGGCAGCCTCCAATCTTAGTGCAGAAGAAGAAAAGGTAAAATTTAATAACAAACTTTCTTTTTTGCTTATCTAATATTTGAAACTGAGCTCAAAATTTTTGACATTTAGGAATGAAATTTAGTATACTCGAACCCCATGATACCGCTGACTCCACGGTACCGGTATATTCACAAATCTCGCGATATTTTTGTCAACACCACCTACCGAGTGTTTATATTGACATGCTCCAAGTAATATTGGCTATTTCAAAGTTTTTAAACATTTTCAAGAGTTTCTGAAGGAAATATTTCACATATCCTACCTTATTTTTATTTTACTATCCTATTTTTCCATTGCAATAAATAAGTCTCTCTACAAAACACTTTTTTTTCAAGAAAATAAAAAATCACAGGTGCTGACGTCATTCAACCTCCATTACATGTCACTTGACCTTTTGACATCATTTTTGGCGGGAAAAAATTAACCTATGGAAAGCCATTAGTGCATATAAAATAGTTTATGAAAATTAAAAAGTCAGTTTCATTCAGTCTTTTAAGGAGCCTGTGTAAAGTGCCCATATCGTTATTTTATCTTCATCATATAGAAATAAAATTGATTCAATGATACAAAAGGACCAGACAATCACAACAACACTAAAATTAAGTGAAGGGGCATTTTTGAATCCAGCCACATGGTATAATATACACCTGTAATTGGGAGGAAAAGGTTCTAAAACAGAGACCCCTTGGGAGTCATAAAAGATGAACAATAAATTATTGAAACACACGTTTTTATGTTGTTTTTAAGCGGTACCACTAAAATACGCAACGGAGATTTTTTTGGCGCAACGGACGCAACGGGCGCAACGGAGATATTTTTTTTTAGAAAAACCGGCACAACGCCTTTTTTAAAGTCAATGTGCTATATTTAAGCATCTAAAATGATTGTTTATAAATATTTAGTAAGTAAGTTTTAAAATATTTTATAAATTGTATATGTTTAATTGCACTGAAGGGTCATATGCCTGGCGAAATGGAAATTTCATGGCGCAACGGAGATATTTTTTTCAGAAAAACCGATACAACGCCTTTTTTTAAAGTCAATATGCTGTATTTGAGCATCTAAAATGATTGTTTAGCACTATAAAGTAAGTTTATGGATTTCAAAATGTTTCATAAATTGTATATGTATACACTGAAGGATTATATATACCTGGCGAAATGGAGATAATTTTGGAAAATCGGCACAACGTTTGTACTATTGTACTATTATATGAAATTAATTAACACCCAATGTTATTTGAATAAATAAATTTAAAAAAAAAGAGATTTAAAAACCTTAATCGTATATCAAATAATCAAAGAGCTGCAATGTTGATGTTGTAAAGGATTGTGTGCCGCCGAAATGGACATTTTGTCTGCGCAACGGAGTTTTTTTTTTTTTTTTTTTTTTTTTTTTTTTTTTGGCTCAACGGAATCAATGTCAGTCCGAATTAAGTAGTTATATGAAGAAGTAAATCATTAAAGATATTAACTGAATTACGAAGTGGTGTAATAAATGCCTGTTTTATTAATTTAGAAATGGAATTAAAATACGGTTTTATCGTTATGGCTGACACTGAAAGACCATGTATGGATTTTACAATCTGTTTCATTTTTTCCGTTCAATTCGTTATTTTTACGAAAGTACCGTAATAGCTTTTCTTACATAATTTTCAGAATTTTTACTTGAAGAATACGAAAAGTCCGTAAAGCATACGCTGTTGACTTTCTAATGTAATCTTACAATAAATTACCAAATTTCAACAAAACGTTAATTAATGGCTTATTGCTGCAAAAAGATATACGATTTTTTTCCGTCATGGCTGATATTCGAATGATGTTGTAATATTTAATTTTTATGCATTTTTAAAAATAAAATAGTAGCTATAAACATATTTATTGTTTGATGTAATTATTAAAATAGTAAAACGACATGCCTGTAGAATTTGCTTAGACTTTTCCATTTAAAACATAAAATAATTAACTTGAACGTTACTTATAACAATTCCCTTCCCAATCAGAAAACCCGTTAATCAAATGCAGCTACTGTTTATTTAGCGAAAACAACAGCAACTTGGTGATTGGCAGAAATGTTTATCACGGGTGTTAAGTACCCGATAATTAAATTACCAATGACACGTTGGTTTGATGTTTATTGGACAAGCGTTTTCACACCATTTAGATAAATGTGATTAAGAGGAACATGTATTGACTTTAGGTATTACATATTTTTTATAACTTATTATTGTCGAAAAATTGCTTTTGAAGCTTATTATGCCAATATATTCACTCAAACTATGAGAAAAATTGTGTATATGAAATGTGAGACGTCACAAAACATTTTGGAGCCTGAATCCGCCACTGATAACGGTCATGTTTTCTTTTACAAGTGTTAAAATTATTAAACACCCATGCCATACTGGTGCACGATACCGTGCTAATTGCTTACAATTCTCGCGTAATTGATTGCCGTTTGTCAATATAACAATTATGAAATATTTTGATTGCTTTTGATGAAAAATACAATTTATACGCAACAAACAATTATTGAAAAGGTAAACAATGATTAATGAAAGATAATAAATTAATAAAATAAAATAATATGATAAAACTGTTATGATAATCCCCGTTGTGCCGAAATGTGTCCATTTCGCCGTAATTTAAATATCTTTTACAATATCCTATTTTCAACATTTTCTAAAATAAAGGAAAGTAAATCATTTTTAAAAGACTGTTACTTATTATTCTCAAATTCTTAAGTTATGTTCAAACATAAGTACTACCCGTTATGCAAATCTTCATTTTCCATTGCGCCGAAATTATGTCCATTTCGCCGTCCATTTAGAATCTGATATATTCAGTATTTTACCTAATAAAATCAAACTTATACAGTATATGTAAAAAATATGTATACAATATCAACAATACCAACTTATATGATTATTTTATGGTTTAGACATAAAAACAGTACACAGTTTTGAAAATAAAATCTCCGTTTCGCAATTATCCATCGGCGCAACAGAGTTTATGAAAGGTATAACAAAAATACAATGTTGATTCTGTAATATCAACATATTACTTTATTTAGTTAACTAATGCAAATTCAATTAATTTCAATTAAAAATTATGTATAGAAAAGCTATTACAGTACTTTTCGTAAAAATAACGAATTGAACGGGGAAAAAATGAAACAGATAGTAAAATCTATACTTGTCTTCCAGTGTCAGCCATAACGATAAAACGTATTTCATTCTATTTTTAAATGAATAAAACAGACATTTATAACACCACTTCAGTAATTCAGTTAATATCTTTAATGATTTACTTCTTCATATTACTACTTAACTCGGACAAACATTGTTTTCTTTTTAAATTCCGTTGCGCCAAAAAAACTGTCCATTTCGCCGGCACACAATCCTTTACAACATCAACCTTGCAGCTCTTTGATTATTTGATATACGATTAAGGTTTTTAAATCTTTTTTTTTTAATTTATTTATTCAAATAACATTGGTGTTAATTAATTTCATATAATAGTACAAAAGTACAAACGTTGTGCTGATTTTCCAAAATTATCTCCGTTGCGCCATGAAATTTCCATTTCGCCAGGCATATTATAATCCTTCAGTGTATACATATACAATTTATGAAACATTTGAAATCATACTTACTTTATAGTGCTAAACAATCATTTTAGATGCTCAAATACAGCATATTGACTTTAAAAAAAGGCGTTGTATCGGTTTTTCTGAAAAAAAAAATATCTCCGTTGCGCCATGAAATTTCCATTTCGCCAGGCATATGACCCTTCAGTGCAATTAAACATATACAATTTATGAAATATTTTAAAACTTACTTACTAAATAGTTATAAACAATCATTTTAGATGCTTAAATATAGCACATTGACTTTAAAAAAAGGCGTTGTGCCGGTTTTTCTAAAAAAAGTATCTTCGTTGCGCCCGTTGCGTCCGTTGCGCCAAAAAATCTCCGTTGCGTATTTTAGTGGTACCCGTTTTTAAGCATTTTTTTTTCAGATTTGAATACAAGAATGCTAAAATGATATATTTGCTATTAAAACTGCAATGGCTTTCCATATAAATAACATTTTTTACCAGTGCACCGGTAGCATGAAGTCTGTTTAACTACGTCATACAAAATGGTCGACCATTGTTTACATTCACAATGAGCGAGAATTTCAGAGTAACAGAACTCTGTAATGTAATTTTAAGAGGATTAAATGTTAATGAAGTTGTTTATTCCTTCTTTTTTTCAAGTCAGTAAATTTTTATATGAAAAACACCTTGTATAAAATATGTACACCGGTATCGTGGAGACCCGGGCTAATATTTTTGATAGATCTATGGAATTACAGTCAACCCGGCCCCAAGTTAACCCGGCCCCAAGTCAACCCGGCCTCAAAATTGGTCAACCCGGCCCCAAATTTGGTCAATCCGGCCCCACAGTATTTTTATTTGGTCAATGCGGCCCCAAAATTGGTCAATGCGGCCCCAAAATCGGTCATTCCGGCCCCAAAATATATATTTTCAAAGAAAATTATTTAAGTCATTTTGTTGCATGATGGAATAAAAATGATTTATTATTAATTGTAGAACAATAGTAAAAAAAACATGAACTGGCATAAAAGTGTCGGTAAATTTAATTGCGCCGATTAA